TCACCACAGTCTGCCTCCCTGGACCCACAGCCCCACGCGCAGGAGACCAGGAGGATCAATAACATGCTCTGCTGCTATCAACTCACACGGCCTGATACCTCCATATGGATCTCAACATGATCCGACACAGCAGTGGTGGGCACCTCCCCAAGAGAGACACACGTGCCGGGGAGTCTTTGTCTTCAACTCCCCACACCGGCTAGCGCCCCACTTCATTCCCATATAAGGGACCCACTGCTGTATGTGTGTATAAAATGCGTGTGTGTGTACAAGTGTCTATGTGTCAGTTTAAGAGTAGGTGTCTGTGTGTGTGTGTGTGTGTGTGTGTGTGTGTGCGTGTGTGTGTGTGTCTGTGTCTGTGTCTGTGTCTGTGTGTGTGTGTGTGTGTGTGTGTGTGCGTGTGTGTGTGTGTGTGTGTGTGTGTGTGTGTGTGTGCTGTCCCCCCCCCCAACTTGCTGCGTTGCCAGTGACTTTCCGATGATATGTCATCATCGCTCACGCCCACCACCCCTGCACATGTGCTATGTTGCTGCCCACAACAGTTGCAAGCCGGGTGCTGTTGCGGAGTACTACTATGTCGGCGGTTGCAGGACTTGCCGCTGCGTCCTTGCCTAATCGTACAGACATTTTCCTCCACTTGTCCCCCTTGTTCTTGTGTATTTGTGTGTGTGTGTGTGTTTCCTCAGCCCCGAACGAGCGTCCACGACGCAGATGCGCCAGCACAACGCAACGGTTCCAGCTGCATTTGGTGTCCGTCCATCCGTCAACCATTATCAAACCGACACATCATGTCACCCATCCCACACCCCTCAGTGCCTCTCGCGGGCCTATGTCCCTCTTATCCTTTTCCCCCTTGATGTTTTTGCCCCGTGTGTTTTCCTTCCTTCTTTTCTTCTTGTGCATTGCGAATTGATCGGCTGTTCTGATCTCATGCGTGTCAGTCAGTACCTGTGTGCCCTTCGTGTGTTGTTGTGCATTTTTTTTGTTTGTTTTTTTGTTTCGTCTGTGTGGCAGGCGCGTGATGGTTGACGCGAAGTATGATTTGCAACAGCACACGTTGTGTTGAATATACGTCGACCAGCAAACGTTTATCACCCGCCACAAACAAACACACACACATGTGCATGTGTGTGCGCGCGTTTTGGGTGTTTAAATTGCCACCTTCTTTTCTGCCCTCTCACGCATGTGCTGGTTAATCATTCTTCAGTGTTTGTGGTTGACTGCCGTTACAATGTTCGAATGCTGCTGCTGTGATGTGATCATCGCCAGTTAGTGGTGGTT